AAAAACATAGACCATAGACTTCTTATTTTGTGCAGGAAAAAAAATAGAAGTTCATTTTCATGGTTTGCGGAGAAAACTAGGATGAACTCAATGTGGCATGAACACAAATTGAATACGTGAAGATTCAATGTAGTATGAAAACTAGGATGAACTCAATGATGTATGAACACACAATGCAGATTCCAAGTTTTTATATTGAATACGAGAAGTACATATATGTTGTAAGAGCAGCCTCCATAGCATACAGTTACCTATAGAATGTGAAGGAAGCAAGTGGTCGAGTCTCTCAGTAGAGATTCCAGATCCAGAGCAAGAGGGGTCTAATAGAATAGCACGAACCTGCACATTCATCATTGTATTGAAGCACACAACACAATTAGGGTTGATTGTTCGACAAGACAAATGGAAAGCTCAAAAAATGTATGCTTGTCTGAAGTTTTCATCAATAGACTATGGGACGGAGGGAGTAGATATCATTATGGATGTCAATACCGGAAATTCAATACATGAATCTAATCTTTCTAACAATAGTAAGAATAACAACACAAGTACTACAAACCTCTGCATATGACGGATCATTGCTATCTATATTCAAAAAGTCACCAATAACTGTTTCAATATCTACAAAACTGGTTAAGAAAATCTGATCATTGTATCATGTCACAAACTTTGTAACATAGTATATGGTGAACAGGTGGATACAGTTGCAAATTGGAAGGAAAAGACTACATACAATTAAACAAAGAAATGATCACCATAGATAGTCCACATATATCACAGCGACCCCCTTGACATAATGGTTTATGTATTACACTTTAGATAAAAATGATATCAAGGGTTGGGTCAAAGTAGCCAGAAGACAAGTGAATGCATAATCATTTCCACATACACAAAGAAGGTGCAAAGATATGCCTGATTGAAAGATGGAATGCTGTTAGTTTTGTGCCCTTGTGAATAAATGTCAAAGAAACATATGAAAGCTACCGTCACAAAACAAAAGCATTTGAAACCTCACTCGGGTTAGCAGGGGATTTGTATTTGAAGGTCAAAAGAATTCACAAGGTACTTTACTGCAGAAATTATGCGAACTTATAAACATTTTTTTCCTAGATTAAATGCAAGGTGAAAAGCATGATTTAACAGTAAAATAATGCCTAGGAAATATATAATTGCGAGATCACTAGAGCTAGAGGTAATAATAAAGCATTTAAGAAAGGATACTGTTTGCTCCAGATCTTCTGACAGTATGTTGCAATGTCTTGGCCCTCTCTTTGTTAAGTTCACAAGCAATAATACTCCCTTCTCCATTCATGAGTGCAGCAAGATGGACTGTTTTGTTCCCTGGAGCCGCACATGCATCAATAACCTAAGTTTAATGTTCAACTGGAAATTAATGATCTGACATGATACAAGTCCTAAGTATGTAAAGTGATACAAACCAGAGTGATACTTATCAACTGCTCAGAATGCAACATTCGTTCCATAATCATGAGTCATGAAGCATAGTAAATAAGCATAGACTTTTCATTTGCAAACTTTAAAAACGATATACAAATTGTTAAGTGACAAATTTCAGGATTATTATATTTTACACTGCGGGCATCCCTCAGAACTTTTCTTTCCAAGAAAACTCCGCGTCGCCACAATTTTACGTCCTAGTACTAAAGATGCAATACTAAGGTCCAGAATATTGTTGTGTAAAATCCTATCAATTAAGAAAGATGGAAATGTAATTAAAATTAAATATTTCACTTAGCTCAAATGGTTGCACCTAGCAAGACAAAAATAAATATATGCAATAAGAACTAGTGCGATTAAATACACTACACTAACCTTCCAACCCGGCTTAGGACTCAATGCAGCTGCCACCATACAACTTGCTTTTCCCTGTGCAAACAGGTTAAAGTGAGAGAGGAAATGATATTAGATAAAGTTTCTTTCAGATGCAGATGCTACAGAATCACAAGGCTTCACCTGCAAAAACACCTTTCCATCTGTGACCAATGGATGTTTATGCATATCAGTTCCAGGAGGGAGCACCAACATGTCTGGAACCATATCATCTTTATCAACCTACCAACAGGTGAATTTTGAGTACCACTAAGAATGGTAGAGCATGAAACTGATATCTAAGTTATACCAAGAAACATTGGACAGCAGGCTTGTTACTTGGAGAAACATGCTCGATCCATAATAAGTGTCTCAGTTTTCAACTAAGGTTGAACTAACCTTAGTTCAAAACTGCGACACTTATTTTGGATCGGAGGGAGTAGAAGATAGGTGAAGTACCTTGTGCATTTTACTTAGTACTTCAATAACCGATCCTGTTGTGGTCTTGAGTGTGTTTACACGAACAAACCTGGGCTTCGGTTTGACTGCAGAAATAAAAGAATAATAAACAGCATTGCATGCACAAAATTTTTCTAGTACCACTTAATTTATGTATAATGAGGATGGCATATCACTGACATGTCAAAACTGAGCAAATGCACAGCAGCAGTTGTGGTGCACCTTCTCCAGGACACGGTTGTGATCTAATATTGAAAATTAAACTGTTTTTTCCAATAGTATGAAAATGGCTACTGTTTTATTAGTTGCTCTTTTGAAGGATACTATCTAAAATACAATTAACAGATTTCCCCAAGTTAACCAGAACTTATCAATTATCATATGGGGTCAGAACATAAAAAATGTTTAAAAGTCTCAAACCTAGCATGAAAGTCAGTGTTGAGCGTTGACACAAGAAAACAACCTCATATAATACACTGCATATGAAATAGTTGAAGTTCATAGCTGTAACACCTCACATAGATGCTGCATATGAAAAAACTCAAGTTTTCAGCTGTGACACAATCTATTATGCCGTGTACAGAGAATTATGTGATCAAATGAATGCATTTGATCTGGATGGTCAAGATCATCAGGCAGCTCAGAGATGCAGGGGCAATCATATTAGAGGAACAGTCAATGATCTACTACAAAAGGAACATGTCAGAGAGAACAGAGAAGGATACCTGTAGTTTTCTCGCTTAACAAGTCCTCAACATTACTGACTTTCCTTTTAACACATATTTTCTGAAGAGCAGTCCTAAAAGTATCTTTATGTAGCATAATATACTCCTCGACAGATCCAGAAACTGCAATTTCCTACGAATGCTACTTCATGTCAGATTTTCTTTGAATGGGAAGAAGCGGAACAACAAGACTGATCAAGCGAATGACATGGCAAACTAGTGCTTAATTCCATAACTCAAGTTTAATAACAAAGGGTAATGCAACCGCCTGGATGGCTCCGCTCCCACCCTCTAGCCCCGCCGAGCCCTCCCCTGCCTGCCGCCGACGCTCCCCGCCGACCGCCCACCCCCTAGCCCCCCTTCCCCTCCCCCTAGCCATGGAGGCCCCAAGCGCCGCCCCTGC